ACGCCATACAATAATACAACACATCCATCTTCCATTCATATTATACTGATATCTGATTGGCTGAGAGGTTTGCCTATCAGATTATTGAGTTTTCATTTTAAAGTTAGTCACTCTGCCACGGTGGAATCAGCTCGCGATCTAAACGCCACGTTCTTCCTTATTCCCATCATGCTCTCTGAAGACAGTTTGACCTTCACAGTGAGCTTGACCTCTTGACCTTCGCAGTGAGCTTGACCTCTTTACAGTGAGCTTGACCTCTTGACCTTCGCAGTGAGCTTGACCTCTTGACCTTCGCAGTGAGCTTGACCTCTTGACCTTCGCAGTGAGCTTGACCTCTTGACCTTCGCAGTGAGCTTGACCTCTTGACAGTGAGCTTGACCTCTTGACCTTCGCAGTGAGCTTGACCTCTTGACAGTGAGCTTGACCTCTTGACCTTCGCAGTGAGCTTGACCTCTTGACAGTGAGCTTGACCTCTTGACCTTCGCAGTGAGCTTGACCTCTTGACCTTCGCAGTGAGCTTGACCTCTTGACCTTCGCAGTGAGCTTGACCTCTTGACCTTCGCAGTGAGCTTGACCTCTTGACAGTGAGCTTGACCTCTTGACCTTCGCAGTGAGCTTGACCTCTTGACAGTGAGCTTGACCTCTTGACCTTCGCAGTGAGCTTGACCTCTTGACCTTCGCAGTGAGCTTGACCTCTTGACCTTCGCAGTGAGCTTGACCTCTTGACCTTCGCAGTGAGCTTGACCTCTTGACCTTCGCAGTGAGCTTGAGCTCTTGACCTTCGCAGTGAGCTTGACCTCTTGACAGTGAGGTTGACCTCTTGACCTTCGCAGTGAGCTTGACCTCTTGACCTTCGCAGAGGGCCCTCACACTGCGCTGATCTTCATCCTGTCAGCGTGTGCTGAGAGAAACTCTGAAGAACATCTGAACAGAAATCTCTAGTGAATTTCACAAATCATTAGAAAGAAACAGCGAGTAACACTGAGTTACAGGAAAACACACTCCAATAACCTTTGTTTTATTTACAACTGTGAAATTTTCATGATTTTATTGTAATTATTTCTACACTGAAAAAATTTGAAACAACTTGACTCATAAATCTCACAAATTAAAAAAGTTGGCAAGGGGGGGGGGGGCTGATGTGAAACACAGTGTTTGTAGTTCAGCTGATAAAGAACATACACACACACACACACACACACTGATGCACTTTGAATAAAAGCACCTGCGAGATGTAAATGAGAAGCACAGGCGTGTTTGATTAAGATCCATCAGTGATTAAGAGCGAGTGTGTTTGTGTGAACGAGCAGCCACACACACACACACACACACACACACAGCTCGACCCTGAAACACTAACCTGAAGTGACTGCAAGGAGATTGCGAAGGCGAATTGGATGAGTTCCATTAGGAAGAGCAGAAACACCTTTCATTTCAGAATTTAATTGAGGCCGTGATCCTGCAGCGCCATCAGCTGCTGTCATTAGTGTGTGTGTGTGTGTGTGTGTGTGTGTGTGTGCACACTCACACACACTCACACAGACACATATATATACACACACACACACACTCATACACAGACACACACTGTTGTTTTTATCATCTGTAATTGCGTGGCACAGTTTAATTGCTCTCCTGTTGTTCCGTCTGATTGGCTGATTGTTTTTCCCTCCGCTCTGAGTGGACGGAGCCGTCTCTATGACAACGCACATTACCACCTCATTGCTTCATTTGCATAAGCTTTTTCATATAAATATCAATATGATCCAAACAAACAATAAGGAGTGAAGGCAGGAGAACACGGAGTCGTTAGAACGGAAGTTGATGAGGAGAAACATCGTTTGCATTCAGGAGTGAAGCAGCCGAGCCGGAGCACGCCGAGCCGGAGCAGCCGAGCCGGAGCACACCGAGCCGGAGCACACCGAGCCGGAGCACACCCAGCCGGAGCACACCGAGCCGGAGCACACGCCGAGCCGGAGCAGCCGAGGAATATCAGGCCGAGCCGGAGCACACCGAGCCGGAGCAGCCAAGGAATATCAGGCCGAGCCGGAGCACACCGAGCCGGAGCACGCCGAGCCGGAGCACACCGAGCCGGAGCAGCCGAGGAATATCTGGCCAGCCGGAGCACGCCGAGCCGGAGCACGCAGAGGAATATCTGGCCGAGCCGGAGCACGCCGAGCCGGAGCACACCGAGCCGGAGCACACCGAGCCGGAGCACACCGAGCCGGAGCAGCCGAGGAATATCAGGCCGAGCCGGAGCACGCCGACCCGGAGCACACCGAGCCGGAGCAGCCGAGGAATATCAGGCCGAGCCGGAGCACGCCGAGCCGGAGCACGCCGAGCCGGAGCACACCGAGCCGGAGCAGCCGATGAATATCAGGCCGAGCCGGAGCACGCCGACCCGGAGCACACGCCGAGCTGGAGCACTCCGAGCCGGAGCACACCGAGCCGGAGCACACCGAGCCGGAGCAGCCGAGGAATATCAGGTCGAGCCGGAGCACGCCGAGCCGGAGCACACGCCGAGCCGGAGCACTCCGAGCCGGAGCACACCGAGCCGGAGCACACCGAGCCGGAGCACACCGAGCCGGAGCACGCCGAGCCGGAGCACGCCGAGCCGGAGCACGCCGAGCCGGAGCACACCGAGCCGGAGCACACCGAGCCGGAGCAGCCGAGCCGGAGCACACGCCGAGCCGGAGCAGCCGAGCCGGAGCACACGCCGAGCCGGAGCACACCGAGCCGGAGCACTCCGAGCCGGAGCAGCCGAGCCGGAGCACACCGAGCCGGAGCAGCCGAGCCGGAGCACACCGAGCCGGAGCACACCGAGCCGGAGCACACCGAGCCGGAGCAGCCGAGCCGGAGCAGCCGAGCCGGAGCAGCCGAGCCGGAGCACACGAGCCGGAGCACACGAGCCGGAGCACACGAGCCGGAGCACACCGAGCCGGAGCACACCGAGCCGGAGCACATGTCTCCGCTAACATTCAGAAACGTGTAAAAGTGAAGCTCTCCCTGAGTCTCTCCGTAAGGCTGCACTCGCTGCTGGTTACTCCTGACTCTGGATCAGTGAGATTGGCCTGTGTTGTTATTGCCGGAGTCTCTGAAGCTCGTGTAAAGGCTCCGCCCTCTTCTGAACGGAGGCGGAGCTAAAGCTCATTTGCATTTAAAGGGACACACACACAAACAGAGTTTTTGCTCACACCCAAAAAGGGGCAAATTTGACAAGCTATAATAAATGATCTGGTATTTTGAGCTGAAACTTCACACACACATTCTGGGACGCCAGAGATTTATGCATCTGGTGAAAAGAGGCGTAATGTCACCTTTAAAAAGAGTTTGCAAGAGTGCGCATCATCAGGCCTTCACATTAATCGTGTGTAAACGAGTCTGATGGTTCCGGACGCTGCAGTTTGCATGGTTTACTCCAGTATTGGTGTTACTCGCAGCGCCTCCGCTGATCCGGGACGACGGACACACTTCACCGATGATCCCGCAGGATTCAGAAGCTTCTCAGGGAAACTCCAGCGCTTCTGAACACTATCCCGGGCCTCGTCTGTGTCCGGCAGGAAACGCTATATCCAGCACAATAACACTCGAGTCCTCGAGGCGTGTGTGTGTGTGTGTGTGTGTGTGTGTGTGTGTGAGAATGTGTGTGTGTGTGTGAGTGTGTGTGTGAGAGTGTGTGTGTGTGTGTGTGTGTGTCTGTGTGTGTGTGTGTGTGTGTGTGTGTGTGTGTGTGTGTGTGTGTGTGTGTGTGTGTGAGTGTGTGTGTGTGTGTGAGGGTGTGTGTGAGAGTGTGTGTGAGAGTGTGTGTGAGAGTGTGTGTGAGAGTGTGTGTGAGAGAGTGTGTGTTTGTGTGTTTGTGTGTTTGTGTGTGTGTGTGTGTGTGTGTGTGTGTGTGTGTGTGTGTGTGTGTGTGTGTGTGTGTGTGTGTGTGTGTGTGTGTGTGTGAGAGAGTGTGAGAGAGTGTGAGAGAGTGTGAGAGAGTGTGTGAGAGTGTGTGAGAGTGTGTGAGAGTGTGTGAGAGTGTGTGAGAGTGTGTGAGAGTGTGTGAGAGTGTGAGTGTGAGAGAGAGAGTGTGAGCGTGAACGGAAGCTGCTCTTCTCCACCGCATCAGGATTGTGTCCTTCCGTCTGTCCGATCCAGCGAATATACAAGCGTCTCTTCAGACACGCACAGACCCGCTGAAGACCGGCTCCGTTTACATGCTGATTTAGGCTGGTTTAGGCTGGTCTAGACTGGTGTAGACTGGTTTAGGCTGGGTTAGGCTGGTGTAGACTGGTGTATGCTGGTCTAGGCTGTTGTAGACTGGTCTAGACTGGTGTAGACTGGTGTATGCTGGTCTAGGCTGGTGTAGACTGGTCTAGACTGGTGTAGACTGGTTTAGGCTGGTCTAGGCTGGTTTAGACTGGTTTAGGCTGGGTTAGGCTGGTGTAGACTGGTGTAGACTGGTTTAGGCTGGTCTAGACTGGTTTAGGCTGGTTTAGGCTGGTCTAGACTGGTTTAGGCTGGTGTAGGCTGGTCTAGATGGCGGAGCGGCATTAACATGCAGAACTGATGCCGCCGCGTAGAATAAGGTCTAGAGGATCGGCCGCTGTCCGTCACTCATGATCACTGGAGCAAAGCATGAGATCCTGCTGAAGAATACATGAAGGACTGGCGAGTTTGGTGTGGGTTTAAAATACAACCATGGTTTTTGCCGGGTTATAAAAATTGTTTTAAGTCATTTATGCAATACAGCAGCTTCACAGTAATAAACTAACAGTAATGTGCTAAGTTCATCGATTATGATTAAATTTCAGCTGTAAAGCAGCTCTATAGAAAACAGAGTCATTATTCAGATTAATTCAGAAATGCAGTTCATAATAGTGTTTTCTTAGAGGTTTATTTCATATATTTGACGTGTGTAAACAGGGATTGGCTGATTTTTGTGCCATTAAATGAAAGTGAAATGCTTGTACAGAATCTCAGATGTGAAACTACTCACTGTAACTGTGTTCTGTCAGCAGTGAAGGCGCTGGTGGCGAGAGGTCTATCAGGTGAGTCTGGTGTGTGTGTGTGTGTGTGTTCGCGTGTGTGTGTGTGTGTGTGTCTGTCTGTGTGTGTGTGTGTGTGTGTGTGTGTGTGTGTGTGTGTGTGTGTGTGTGTGTGTGTGTGTGTGTGTGTGTGTGTGTTGGACTGACGCGTGTCTCTTCACACACAGGCGGCGCTGACCCGCCCGTCACACACACGCTGCGGATCCACTGTAACCAGAGTCTTCTTCTGCTGGAGATGGAGAGATGTGGAGAGAGATTCACTGCAGACATGAAGCAGATCCATCCAGACGACAGATGCAACCTCACACACTTCATCAGGTGAACATCAGTGTGTGTGTGTGTGTGTGTGTGTGTGTGTGTGTGTGTGTGTGTGTGTGTGTGTGTGTGTGTGTGTGTGTGTGTGTGTGTGTGAGCCCTCGCAGCCGGTCCAGGACTCAGAGTTCACTGTGACTCGAGGAGTATTCGCTCTCGCTCATGTCAGTAGATCAGGAGACGATGACCTGCGTATCTCATGATATCAGAGCGTAACCCTGTGTCTCGGCTGCTCATGGCCAGACGGAGCTCACAGTATAAGTGAAGAATATTCATTTATAATAAACCTCAAGCTCTAGAGTCACATATTTTATGCGCATAAACTGTCTACTGATGCTTTCACAGCAGCTTCACTGCTAATGACAAATAACAGAATCAATGATGCAAACTTCATCAAATGTGAAACAAATTTTAATTTTGCTGTAAAGCTTCTCTACAGAAGACAGAGTCATTATTCGCTTGATATTACTGGACAGTGTCTTTTAAACAATTAAGTTCTGTTTGTCTCTCAGCTAACAGCGAACATGTTATGATCATTCTTCCAGTAACATATATAGAACGTTTGATCAAGGTTATCTGCTCTTTAATAATGTTCTCAAAACATTATTTATACATCATTCATGGAGCGTTTTCTTTTTCTTTCAGAAACGTTTTAGTTGGATGTTCATCTAACGGTTTTAAATGTTACCACTTGTTTCAGACGTTCAGAGAACATTCAAAAGTAACATTCCATAATGTTGAATGATACAATGTAACGTTTCCTGAACGTTCACATAACCAAGAAAAAACTATGTTTTTTAGGTTTTTTGAACGTTCAGAGAACATTGAGAAATAACTTTTTAATTTTAGCGTCTGATCACACTGTGAAGCGTGAGTGTCTTAATCCTGCTGATAATAATATTCAGATATGAATGAGCTGCAGAGACTGAGCGTTCACTGACCCGCTGGACTGGCCATTATCGGGTCAGAACACGACCCCAATTACTGTGAGTGTGTGAGTGAGTGTGTGTGTGTGTGTGTGTGTGTGTGTGTGTGTGTGTGTGTGTGTGTGTCCAGACCTCAATCCTCGAGGACCATTCACAGCTCAGACACAACCCGCTCATTTGCATACCAATCACAGGAAACCACTTTAACTTTATTTATTAAGTCGTGGAGGTCATTTTCCCACAGACTCGTGTGTGTTCTGCTAGATCTCAGTGTTGGAGATTCATCGGCTCAAACGTGTCTCACACACTCCTCAAGATCAGCAGATCATTTCTCCAGATAACAGCTTGTGTGTGTGTGTGTGTGTGTGTGTGTGTGTGTGTGTGTGTGTGTGTGTGTGTGTGTGTGTGTGTGTGTGTGTGTGTGTGTGTGTGTGTGTGTGTGTGTGTGTGTGTGTGTGTGTGTTCGCTTCAGCCCCTGATGAACGATTGATACGATCACATGACCAATAGAGATTCAGTGAGGACAGTACTAATGGGCTTCACAGACACACACACACACACACACACACACACACTCACACACACACACACACATTCAGTCTCCATGTTCTTTATGCCAGTATTAGTTACGTGTTTTCATTGTTCGATCGAAACTTTAGTGTGAGTAAGAGCGTCTGCGTATTATGATATAAATGATGTCGTTGAAAAGGGAATGAGCGCTGCTTCTTTATTAGTGTAATAAAGCGTTGAACTCGTGTGTGTGTGTGTGTGTGTGTGTGTGATCGACAGATTCGTTTAAAAAGCTCCGTGTCTCTGACTGTCTTCCTGAAGGAAATGACTGATCCACTGATTAACATTAAAAGCAAAGAGCTGCTTTTCTCCATGATATCAGTAATAACGCAGTGTTTCTGGTTTTCTCCATGATATCAGTAATAACGTGTGTCCTGTCAGGACCACTATCGTCAAATATGATTGACAGTTAGCATACTGTTAGGATTGGCGGTCTGGTTCTGTTCTGGGCAGCCTAGCATGGATAAGAGCAGGAGAGCAGCAATAACCCCCCTCAGGGTAAACAGAACAGAACCGGAGGAGGGTAATCGGCTCCTGAGAAACGAGAGGAGCTGGGGAGGGAGGAGGGTAATCAGCTCCTGAGAAACAAGAGGAACTGGGGAGGGAGGAGGGTAATCAGCTCCTGAGAAACAAGAGTAACTGGGGAGGGAGGAGGGTAATCAGCTACTGAGAAACGAGAGGAGCTGGGGAGGGAGGAGGGTAATCGGCTCCTGAGAAACGAGAGGAACTGGGGAGGGAGGAGGGTAATCAGCTCCTGAGAAACGAGAGGAACTGGGGAGGGAGGAGGGTAATCAGCTCCTGAGAAACAAGAGGAACTGGGGAGGGAGGAGGGTAATCAGCTCCTGAGAAACAAGAGGAGCTGGGGAGGGAGGAGGGTAATCAGCTCCTGAGAAACGAGAGGAACTGGGGAGGGAGGAGGGTAATCGGCTCCTGAGAAACGAGAGGAACTGGGGAGGGAGGAGGGTAATCAGCTCCTGAGAAACAAGAGGAACTGGGGAGGGAGGAGGGTAATCAGCTCCTGAGAAACAAGAGGAGCTGGGGAGGGAGGAGGGTAATCAGCTCCTGAGAAACAAGAGGAACTGGGGAGGGAGGAGGGTAATCAGCTCCTGAGAAACAAGAGTAACTGGGGAGGGAGGAGGGTAATCGGCTCCTGAGAAACGAGAGGAACTGGGGAGGGAGGAGGGTAATCGGCTCCTGAGAAACGAGAGGAACTGGGGAGGGAGGAGGGTAATCGGCTCCTGAGAAACGAGAGGAACTGGGGAGGGAGGAGGGTAATCGGCTCCTGAGAAACGAGAGGAACTGGGGAGGGAGGAGGGTAATCAGCTCCTGAGAAACAAGAGGAGCTGGGGAGGGAGGAGGGTAATCAGCTCCTGAGAAACGAGAGGAACTGGGGAGGGAGGAGGGTAATCGGCTCCTGAGAAACGAGAGGAACTGGGGAGGGAGGAGGGTAATCAGCTCCTGAGAAACGAGAGGAACTGGGGAGGGAGGAGGGTAATCGGCTCCTGAGAAACGAGAGGAACTGGGGAGGGAGGAGGGTAATCGGCTCCTGAGAAACGAGAGGAACTGGGGAGGGAGGAGGGTAATCGGCTCCTGAGAAACGAGAGGAACTGGGGAGGGAGGAGGGTAATCGGCTCCTGAGAAACGAGAGGAACTGGGGAGGGAGGAGGGTAATCGGCTCCTGAGAAACAAGAGGAACTGGGGAGGGAGGAGGGTAATCGGCTCCTGAGAAACGAGAGGAACTGGGGAGGGAGGAGGGTAATCGGCTCCTGGGAAACGAGAGGAACTGGGGAGGGAGGAGGGTAATCAGCTCCTGAGAAACAAGAGGAACTGGGGAGGGAGGAGGGTAATCGGCTCCTGAGAAACGAGAGGAGTTGGGGAGGGAGGAGGGTAATCAGCTCCTTAGAAACAAGAGGAACTGGGGAGGGAGGAGGGTAATCGGCTCCTGAGAAACGAGTGGAGCTGGGGAGGGAGAAGGGTAATCGGCTCCTGAGAAACGAGTGGAGCTGGGGAGGGAGGAGGGTAATCAGCTCCTGAGAAACGAGAGGAGCTGGGGTGGGAGGAGGGTAATCAGCTCCTGAGAAACGAGAGGAACTGGGGAGGGAGGAGGGTAATCAGCTCCTGAGAAACGAGAGGAACTGGGGAGGGAGGAGGGTAATCGGCTCCTGAGAAACAAGAGCAGCTGGGGAGGGAGGAGGGTAATCGGCTCCTGAGAAACGAGAGGAACTGGGGAGGGAGGAGGGTAATCAGCTCCTGAGAAACAAGAGGAACTGGGGAGGGAGGAGGGTAATCGGCTCCTGAGAAACAAGAGGAACTGGGGAGGGAGGAGGGTAATCGGCTCCTGAGAAACGAGAGGAGTTGGGGAGGGAGGAGGGTAATCAGCTCCTGAGAAACAAGAGGAACTGGGGAGGGAGGAGGGTAATCAGCTCCTGAGAAACAAGAGGAACTGGGGAGGGAGGAGGGTAATCGGCTCCTGAGAAACGAGAGGAGTTGGGGAGGGAGGAGGGTAATCGGCTCCTGAGAAACGAGAGGAGTTGGGGAGGGAGGAGGGTAATCAGCTCCTGAGAAACAAGAGGAACTGGGGAGGGAGGAGGGTAATCAGCTCCTGAGAAACAAGAGGAACTGGGGAGGGAGGAGGGTAATCGGCTCCTGAGAAACGAGAGGAGTTGGGGAGGGAGGAGGGTAATCGGCTCCTGAGAAACAAGAGGAACTGGGGAGGGAGGAGGGTAATCAGCTCCTGAGAAACAAGAGGAACTGGGGAGGGAGGAGGGTAATCGGCTCCTGAGAAACGAGAGGAGCTGGGGAGGGAGGAGGGTAATCAGCTCCTGAGAAACGAGAGGAACTGTATATTCGGAATATTTCTGTTTTTCTCCATGATATCAGTATAACGTGTGTTTTATACCTCTCCTCAGGGAGTATCACATGTTCTCGTTCTGCACGGAGGTGAACGCCGAGCGCATCGGCTGCTTCTGGCCGAACCCGCAGGTCGAGCGCTTCATCATCGGACTCCACCAGCGCTTCTTCTCCAACTGCACCCTGGACCCGCTGGTGTTCCTGGACCCGCCTGAACACACACTCACCCTCCTCATCCTCATCCCCGTCTTCCTCACGCTGGGCATGGTGGCGCTGGTGGTGTGGAGCAGCAAGCGCAGCGACGTCCTGGCCTAGGCTCAGCGGTCAGGGGGTCAGAGGTCACGGGACTGTCAGTCTGGCAGACTCTTCTTTATTTCACCCAGACGCTTCATTCCTGAATCACTGATGCTGAATCAGTTCCAGTGTGAGTGAACATCCGTCAGGATCTCTGGATCGTCTGCTGTACAGCTATTATTTAATGTTTTAATTAAATAAGGTAGAATTAGGCCGTTTGTCAAACTGTTTGTCGAGTCAGTTTGAGCGTTCATTATCATTCCGACACACAGCGCTGGTTCATTTATCCAGTGATTGTGAGCTTGTTTTCTTCTCTGATCATTGAAATGATGAACGGATTCCTGTGAAACACAACGACTGCTATGATCCGATGAAAACAGAGTAAAGCAGGACATGTTCGAACCCAGCGAGAGCTCAGCCAATCACGGCTCTTTCAGGAGGACGGGATTATTTATATGAGGAGGAAAAGCCGTGTATTGTGTGCGACTTAAGGATACAAACAAAAGACAATAGTAGCTCTTGAGCGTCTGGCCTCGTACTCTGCAGAACGAGCGAGTAGAGTCAGAGCCGCAGGAAGGATACAAACGTCTTTCCCATCGCGCCGATGAATGAGAGGAAACGGGCTGGTTATGATTTCACCAAAAGAGCTGCAGAATCATAAACCAGTGTTTCGACGGGTCGACAGGCTTCATCATCACACTCACACACACACACACACTTGGGCCTGAATGTCAGATTTATGCATTTAAAATCCATTTGGATTACACAGTTACAAACTAGTGTTAAACTCAATGTTCATGCCTAAATGAAACGCAGAAAATCATGGCATAGCTTATTATTAACTATATTTTAAAAATCATATTTTCAAAATGCATTTATTCCAATTGGGTAGGATCAACATAAATATGTTTATTAAGAAAATGTATTCAGTTCAAAAGTATGAACTTTGAAAAAATATGACTGTGTGGAACAAGCAATATTCAGTTAGTTAAAACACACGAGATTAACTGATGATAAATATATGAAGCTGGTTAAACACATTACAGAAATCTGCCCTTTTTCATTTATGAATGACTGACAAATATGCATCAGATTCACCCAAACATGAAACTCTTACCAAAACATGTACAGTATAACTTCATTTCTCAATGTAACACAGAAGAAGATATTTTGAAGAATGTTGGTGACCATTGACTGTTTATTAATGTGTGTTTAGAGCTGCTTTAAAGTCATCATTCTCCTGGTTATCACTCTAAAGCTGCTTTAAAACAATCTCTATCTCTGTAGAAATAAAGCTGACTCGACTGAAAACACTGAGACTTTTCTCAGAAAGAAAGAAAGTCGTTCAGGTTTGAAACGACGAGAAAAAACGATGACAGAATGATCATTTTTGGATGAAGTAACCCTTTAAGTTTATTAGCTTATGTTTAAACCATTTAATCCAAATGCATACATCTTGAATGCCTGAATATTGTTTGAGTGAGGCCTGGTCTACATCCATGTGTGTTTAGAGGGGTCTCTCCGTGTCGAGTGTGTTTTTGCAGCCGAACGCCTCCAGCTCTTCCTGTTGACTCTAGATTCCCACACTACTGAGTGCAAGTTCACAGAGGCACAACCAAGCTAATTTTAACAGGTTTCCGTCAGACGAGCGTTTCTTCCATGAGTTCCTGCTCTCACATTAGATAATAAATTATCTGATTTATTCTGTTTATGCCTTATTTATTCTGAACTGTCGATGTGATTCTGAGCACATTCAGTTGATTCATGTTTCAGTGTTTATTTTGAAGGCTAGGCTTGTCTTTAATATGAGCTTTGGGTCAATATCTAATTACATTTTCTCTTTTTCTTTAAGATTTACGAAGCACATTTGGATCATATAATTCGTTTGCTCAATGATCCCGAACAGAAGTGATTCATCTGTAAATAATGTTCATGATAAATACAGTACATTTCCATCCTGACACTGCTGATGTGCCATTATTAAAGGTTTAAAGATGCCACTGATGTTCAGAAACACACACACACACTCTCACACACACTTACACACACACTCAAACACACTCTCTCTCACACACACACACACACACACACACATACTCAATCACACACAGTCACACTCAAACACACTAACACACACACACACTCACTCAAACACACTCTCACACACATACTCAATCACACACTCACATTCTTATTCACACACACTCTCACTCACACACTCTTACACGCACACACACACACTCTCTCATACACACTTTCTCCTGAAGCATCTGAATGTCGGTTCTCTTCATGAAGGTTCTAGAGTAACCCTGTGTTCTGCTAATATTAGTCTCCATTGTGTCGGTGTGGCAGGAAGTGATGCGTCTGCTGTCGTCTGGCCATGTTACACACTGAGTTCATTCAACGGAGTTAAAGGCGTTTGTAGTGTTTTGTGTGTCTGATGAATCACACCTTCATCATCAGGTAAATGAGGTCTGGCTCAGAGAAATATAATATTAATGACGGGTTTATAGGGTCAGCCGCTGCTTCATGCGTTCACGGGTCAGACGAGCTTCACTTCATGTATTTCACTCATTAATAAATCATCAATGGACTCTTTCACTGCTGAATTTCAATGACATTCATGATTTCTTTATGTAACGTTGCTGTAAAAGTCAATGAATGCGAAGACTTTCCCAAGTAGTATTTCCACATGTCTGGACGGGATTTCTGTGAGCCGCTTGATTGTGAAATCTGTGAGGAAATGAAGAGTAAGAGTTTCTGTGATGAAACTGGGTTTCAGACACTGATGATCTCTGATGTGTTTCTCAACTCATGATTCTCAGTCTGATCATTATTAGCAGAGCTGAACTCCACGTCGCTTGTTCGTTCTGTGGGTCATGTAAGGGTTAATCCACGGCTAGCTGTGCGTTAAACAATTTTAATACACGATGTGGAGGCAAAGAACTATCCGAAGCTAAGCACTAGCCGTGGATTATCCCGCTTATACCACAGTCATCTCCAGCATTCACAACGTAAAGCTGTTGTTGTTGTTTGCAGTGCAATATTTCACCAGAAGGGTAAAAAATACTGTTATTTTTGTTAGATCTAGCATTCTGCCCACTTTATATCAGACACAGATTAAGTAGTGCTTAAGATCACATTTATGTGTGAGTCAGTCGTTCTCGTGTGAGTCAGTCGTTCTCCTGTGAGTCAGTCGTTCTCCTGTGAGTCAGTCGTTCTCGTGTGAGTCAGTCGTTCTCCTGTGAGTCAGTCGTTCTCCTGTGAGTCAGTCGTTCTCCTGTGAGTCAGTCGTTCTCCTGTGAGTCAGTCGTTCTCGTGTGAGTCAGTCGTTCTCGTGTGAGTCAGTCGTTCTCGTGTGAGTCAGTCGTTCTCCTGTGTGTCAGTCGTTCTCCTGTGAGTCAGTCGTTCTCCTGTGAGTCAGTCGTTCTCCTGTGAGTCAGTCGTTCTCGTGTGAGTCAGTCGTTCTCGTGTGAGTCAGTCGTTCTCCTGTGTGTCAGTCGTTCTCGTGTGAGTCAGTCGTTCTCCTGTGTGTCAGTCGTTCTCCTGTGTGTCAGTCGTTCTCCTGTGAGTCAGTCGTTCTCCTGTGAGTCAGTCGTTCTCCTGTGAGTCAGTCGTTCTCCTGTGAGTCAGTCGTTCTCCTGTGAGTCAGTCGTTCTCCTGTGAGTCAGTCGTTCTCGTGTGAGTCAGTCGTTCTCCTGTGAGTCAGTCGTTCTCGTGTGAGTCAGTCGTTCTCCTGTGTGTCAGTCGTTCTCGTGTGAGTCAGTCGTTCTCCTGTGAGTCAGTCGTTCTCGTGTGAGTCAGTCGTTCTCCTGTGAGTCAGTCGTTCTCCTGTGTGTCAGTCGTTCTCGTGTGAGTCAGTCGTTCTCCTGTGTGTCAGTCGTTCTCCTGTGAGTCAGTCGTTCTCGTGTGAGTCAGTCGTTCTCGTGTGAGTCAGTCGTTCTCCTGTGTGTCAGTCGTTCTCGTGTGAGTCAGTCGTTCTCCTGTGTGTCAGTCGTTCTCCTGTGTGTCAGTCGTTCTCCTGTGTGTCAGTCGTTCTCCTGTGTGTCAGTCGTTCTCGTGTGAGTCAGTCGTTCTCCTGTGAGTCAGTCGTTCTCCTGTGAGTCGGTCGTTCTCGTGTGGTTCGGTCGTTCTCGTGTGAGTCGGTCGTTCTCGTGTGAGTCAGTCGTTCTCCTGTGAGTCAGTCGTTCTCCTGTGAGTCAGTCGTTCTCGTGTGAGTCAGTCGTTCTCCTGTGAGTCAGTCGTTCTCGTGTGAGTCAGTCGTTCTCCTGTGAGTCAGTCGTTCTCGTGTGAGTCAGTCGTTCTCCTGTGTGTCAGTCGTTCTCCTGTGAGTCAGTCGTTCTCCTGTGAGTCAGTCGTTCTCGTGTGAGTCAGTCGTTCTCCTGTGAGTCACTCGTTCTCGTGTGAGTCAGTCGTTCTCGTGTGAGTCAGTCGTTCTCGTGTGAGTCAGTCGTTCTCGTGTGAGTCAGTCGTTCTCGTGTGAGTCAGTCGTTCTCCTGTGAGTCAGTCGTTCTCCTGTGAGTCAGTCGTTCTCCTGTGAGTCAGTCGTTCTCCTGTGAGTCAGTCGTTCTCCTGTGTGTCAGTCGTTCTCCTGTGAGTCAGTCGTTCTCCTGTGAGTCAGTCGTTCTCCTGTGAGTCAGTCGTTCTCGTGTGAGTCAGTCGTTCTCCTGTGAGTCAGTCGTTCTCCTGTGTGTCAGTCGTTCTCGTGTGAGTCAGTCGTTCTCCTGTGTGTCAGTCGTTCTCCTGTGAGTCAGTCGTTCTCGTGTGAGTCAGTCGTTCTCCTGTGAGTCAGTCGTTCTCCTGTGTGTCAGTCGTTCTCCTGTGAGTCCGTCGTTCTCCTGTGAGTCAGTCGTTCTCGTGTGAGTCAGTCGTTCTCCTGTGAGTCAGTCGTTCTCCTGTGTGTCAGTCGTTCTCGTGTGAGTCAGTCGTTCTCCTGTGTGTCAGTCGTTCTCGTGTGAGTCAGTCGTTCTCGTGTGAGTCAGTCGTTCTCGTGTGAGTCAGTCGTTCTCCTGTGTGTCAGTCGTTCTCCTGTGA